CCTTTTCCCTGGTCTTTCTTTTCTCGCTGACATACTTAAAGAAGGATTTTTTGTTTTTCTTAATGTCCCTGGCCAGATTGAGTTCTCTCTGGGCTTTAGCTTGTCTGACTCGATCCCTGGCTGCTCAAACGATTCCTCTGTATTCCTCCCAGGCTACCCACCCCTGTTTCCACTCCATATAGGCCTCCTTTTTTCTTTTGGTCATGTCCAGGAGCTCGTTGTCCATCCACGCAGGCCTCCTGGCTTTTCCATAGACAGATTAATCATAAACAGTAATCTGCTTGTGCTCAGTAATCATTGATGTGTTTGATACTGAATTTTCAAACTCAAGAGTTACTTCTCTGTGGTGATCACTTGATTTTAAGTACATGGTAGTATCCAGGGCGTCATACAGAAAATTGATAAAGATCAGGTTTCCAGCAGTGAATAGCATATATTGTAAAGGTTCCAAATTCGTATTTAAAGGGTAGACTGGAATAGTTCTTAATTAGAGGATTAGGGCCTAATTTTAGACTAGGATTAGACTCAGTCATTCCAATCCCATTTGGTAAACATCTGGTTACTTCATTACTGTGAGGCTTATAAATACATGAGTATTTATAGTCATAGCAAACAGGTTTCACTCACCTGCTTTGACATCTTTGTTTTGTTTTCACATTCCCCATTTTTGCTTATAATCTCTTCCCTCCCAACCCCCTTCTTTTTCTTATATTATGTTTTAATGCTAACAGCAGTCTCCTCACCTTATCGTCTCAAGTTTTGTTCAGTGCCTTAAGGTCACTAGAGTGTGATGTGTTTAAGATCTGAATCAAGTGGCACAGACTGTGTGTAAGATGGGGAAGCAGCCTGTAAAAAGTGTTTTCCAGTTAGTTGATAGTTAAGCAGAACTTTGTGTCTCGTGTGGATTGTAGCAGCTATATTTAGAAATATGTTAACTTCGTATAATCCAGCCCAAGCTCCTGGCTTTCTTCTGTATGAGGTCTTTTATCAGAGCTGCATGGAGAGCTTTATCACAATGACATTGGTGTGGCATCCAGAGCACAAAGAGTGTAATACAACTGGGTATTGGAAATGTCTTTTGAGTGCAAGTCAGGCAGTATGTTCATCACATTGGTCTGAATTAACTAGGAGAAACTGCGGCTGAAAGAATTAACTTTCATAACCGAAAGTTGCCCCATCTCAGAGCTCAGCACCTCACGGGAGCAGGGCTCTGGTCTCTATATGTAGGACCACGGAGAGAAAAGAGCAGAGGAGTACAGGGCAGCCCATGCCGATACAATTTTAAGCTGCCCAGCCTTGCACCTGGCACCATTCTCCCATGAGTGGACAAGGAAGGAAAGCCCTGTCATTAATAGTAAGTACAGTACCTCGTATATAAATAATATCTTGGCGATTATGTGAATAAAAGAGCCTGTTTTGAACAGAGGTATCATTCATTCAACTGTTGCTGTACTAACCAGCTACGATCAAATGACAAACACTGGCAATGAGGCATAGTGTATCACAAAACCAGCCAGCAGAGGAAATAGCAGCGCTAATCTAGCAGGACTAGACTTCAGCCCTAAATCAAGTGAATTAACACTGCAGTGAAAGCTACTTCAATCTTAGGAGAAAAGTTTAATATTTCAGGAGCCCATTTTCCTATTTTCATTAGATTGTTTTTGTTCTTGCTGGAAGGGTGGTGATTTAACTTGGCTGGAGGAGGGTGGTGGTAGCCACATTGTATTCATTGTACTTGCTAAGCCTGGTTCTTGTACTGGAATTGTTACAACCAGTGCTGACCAGTTGTCACAATATTTGAAAGAACTGAAATATTTGCGTAGAAGGAAAGCTGCTTTCCCCCCATTTCCTAAGTGAGACCGTCATGGCACGGGCCGTTCTCTCTATACGCGAGTGAGAAAGTTTCCAGTTTGAAGCCAGACTCTGTTCTGACCTGTGTCACTGTCACACCTTGTCTCATCGTGCCCCCGAGGCCAGCAGAAGTGTATCTGCCGGCACCAGCCAGCAGGGCGGGCAGCATGGGCTGGTAGTGACGGGCTGCACTGAGCTCCAAGTTCCACCTTAACACTGAAAGTATCTTCCAAAGCTTTGCTGTTTAGGCAGCCTAATGATCTTGAAATTTGGGTGCATTGTACAGAAGCTGTTGTATAAGGGAGCCGACAACCATATCTTTGCGTGCTGGTTTTTAGCATGAATTTATCCTTCCAGTGTTGGCAGAATTCACAATATATAAAACAAAGATGATATCTAACTTTCTTGAGACCACCCATAAGGGAACACTGGAAAAAAAAAAAAATTACTTTATGCTAGAATTACTATCTCCAAAAGAGAAATAATAACCCAGTCATTTGTTAGCTAAATGTTTTTAAGCGTGTTCCTTTATTATGGAAAGAATTGGGCAGTAAGAATTTAATAGTCACTGAGAATGCTGCTAATTTATGTATAGCAATTGTGTGAATTATGCATAGGTTACATTGTGAGCCAGAAGAGTATGTGTGTATCTGAAAGTTACTGTTCTCGTACTAGCCATAAAAATATCTATTTTATTCGCTCTTATGAAGAAAAACTGATCTACATTACACATGCCAGGACTGTTCTATAAACCAGCATCTACTGCTGACCTCATTTAACAGTCCTCCAGAGCAGTCACTGTGGGCATTCCAGAAAAGCAGGCCACCTAAAAAAAAGTATTTATTGAGGGGAGGAAAAAAAAAATAAAATTCTAAGTGTGACCTTCAACAGCCATGGAAAAAAAAAAATGCCATTTTGGGCAGCCTGAATGTTCTTAATTTCAGACCAAAAAATTGCTGAGAGGAACTCCCTCTGACCAGTTCTCCTATGGAAAAAACATGCCTGCAGCCAAAACTAGATAGTAATAAATAATCTTCTAAAGCTAGAGAAGAACTGCACGCACAGAGACCATCAACTGGAGGTGAGAATTTTTTGGCAAAATATTGATCAGATCACAAAAATAGGAGAGAGAGAGTTTATTGGTAGGCTGCTCTTTTATTAATGGCACTTTAGGGAGCAGTACTATAAGCCACCTCACCGTCTCTCAAATGGCCAGACTGGCACAGAGTCAAGGCTACAGGACACCCAACTTCTAATGAGTAACTGGACTTTCTGCTTAGCTTATACCTGAGTACTGAGCCTATTTCTAAATGCTCTCACCGTCCTTTTCAACCTCACAACCAAAGGTTGAACATACTAAGAACAAGTGCTATGAAAGGAGTTTAGAAAAAATGGTAAGTTTATCTGAAATTGTTTCCTGCCAAGGCTTGGGAAGACAAGGTAGCATGATTTCCTCCATCTTCTGAACTGAATTTTACTAATGTCTTGCAAATCAAATCAGTAAGTAGAAACATCTCTGTCAAAACTCCTTCGCTGTGAGTCCTCCTATTAACAGGATAAGCACAGCCCATAACGTCAGCACAGCCTGCGTGGGGCACTTGAGACCTTGTTTTCTACTCAGTTGCAGTCAAGTGTCCTGTTTAGCAATCTTGCAAATAAATACACGGGCACACTTCATGCTCTGGATAAGCAGTTACTATACCGAGGTCATCTATTTGTTAAAGGATATCACTTACACATACATGTTGTAAAAATATGATGATTTATAAAACAGGCCTTGGCTGTGTTATGAGGTGCTCTGTAAAAATATATTTGAAGGTACTGTGGGCTTCCTGACAGGGAATCAAACCTGCCTTCCATTCCCATCACAAGCAAAACTTACCTTATTTTTGATACAATCAGGATGAGTTTCTAGGTAATAACAGAATTTCACTTACTGTATGAAATGCAGGAAGGAAAAAAAACCACATTCAGGCATAGCTTTTGGCCAAGAATCATAGAATGGTTTAGGTTGGAAGGGACCTTAAAGATCATCTAATTCCAACCCCCTGCCATGGGCAGAGACACCTCCCACTAGACCAGGTTGCTCAAAGCCCCATCCAGCCTGGCCTTGAATCCTTCCAGGGATGGGGCATCCACAGCTTCTCTGGGCAACCTGTTCTAGTGCCTCACCACCCTCAGAGTGAAAAATTTCTTCCTAATAGCTATTCTAAATCTACCCTCTCTCAGTTTAAAACTGTCATGCCTTGTCCTATCACTACAATCCCTGATAAAGAGTCCCTCCCCATCTTTCCTGTAGGCCCCCTTCAGATACTGGAAGGCTGCTATAAGGTCTCCCCAGAGCTTTTTCTTCTCCAGGCTGAACAACCCCAATTCTCTCAGCCTGTCTTCATAGGAGAGGTGCTCCAGCCCCCTGGTCATCTTTGTGGCCCTCCTCTGGACTCACTCCAACACGTCCATGTTCTACTTATGTTGGGAGCCCCAGAGCTGGACGCAGTACTCCAGGTGGGGTCTCACCAGAGCAGAGTAGAGGGGCAAAATCACCTCCCTTGACCTGCTGGCCACGCTTCTTTTGATGCAGCCCAGGATGCGGTTGGCTTTCTGGGTTGCAAGCACACATTGCCGGCTCCTGTTGAGCTTCTCATCAACCAACGCCCCCAAGTCCTTCTCCTCAGGGTTGCTCTCAATCCATTCCCCGCCCAGCCTGTATTTGTGCACAGGATTGCCCCAACCCATGTGCAGGCCACTTTTGTCTACAGCCATAAGCGCTGCATTTGGAGTATGCACATAGTGTTCAAATTACAGCTACAGAGCCTGAGAGAAGAAGAGTCGTAGCGTTCACCTTGGCTTCCCCGCAGAGCGAAGAGCACAGCCGATTGCCTCTGGTGGTTTTTGGAAATAGCCCTCAATAAACTTGATATGGATTTTCAACTTTGCTGCTTCTTTGCTTTCAGGAAAATTTTATAACATAGGAGACCAGAGGGGCCATGGAGAAGATCACTGCCAATTTGTAGACTCATTCTTAGATGGAAGGACAGGACAGCAAGAAGATCTACCAGTCAAAGACGGTAATTCCTTACGCCTGTCTCTCTTGCAAACCTTGGCAATTCCTTTGTTTGTGTGTTTCTTTTTCCCGCCAGTGGGTTCAGCGCCCGCTGCTGGGGTGGGCAATGGAAAGGGACTACCGGCTTTGCAGGCAGAAGAGAGTCGAGAAGTTTTTGAAGATAAGCACTGCCTTATTAAAAGAAGGTTATGACTCGGGTTCTGTTAGGTAGTAAACAGCCTCTCTCCTGTTTAAAACATTCCAACAGATTATTCACAGTTGGTATTACATATTTAAACCCAACCACAAATTTGAGTTTGCAGAGAAGCGTGAAGTGTTATGTTCAAACTAGCAAGGTTGATTTAAAGTGCAGTAAATCATCAGTTGGGCATTAAACAGCTTTGTTTAGTGCTAATGAGAAACTAAAAAGTTATTACTGGAAAATATAATTCATGCTGCAGTAATTCTGTGTGCACTGATTTGAACCGGGTGCCTAGAGTTCCAGTCTGGTCTAAGTGGGCATAGGACTGGATGTCCTAAACGCAGCTGTCACCTGCCTGGCTGTTTTTTCCATGCTGCTGAGGCTCGGGCATAAGAAAATTGTATTTCTGTCAGCTGAACTCCTCCTGCCTTGCTTGTTTGCCAGTGTGAGGGAGTCCATTCCCTTGTGGGGTGAGGACACAGGCTGTACTGATACATGCACACGCGCATGCTGAGTGTGTCGTGGAATGTTGTACAGAGAAAAATATCAAAGTGGTTTTCAGTACAATGTCAGTGTGTTGCCCAAATCTTCCTGTATGTAGTGGTTCATTTATAGAACACCTTACAGAAATGCATCGACGTAGGTGTGGGAGATGAAAGTGAAGTGCCTAAATCTTGCACAAGTTTTTCCGAAAACAAAGTAGGTGAACACTCTGAAAGGTGTTTGCTTATGTGATTTTTTTTAAATTTTTTTTTTTTAAGAGGGCTTGCCTTCCCCAGTCAGTGTTGCCCATTTGTAAAGGTATTTTGTTTACATAAGGGATTGTCTGAATCCAGTTTGGCATTGCCAGGACAGCAGACCTCTCAGTTGTATCAGATGCACTTTTTAAAAAGACACTTATAAATATAAAAATAAAAAAAAAAAACCCTCCTACATAAAAAGCTTGCTAACCTCAGCTTGAAAGACATTTAAAATCAATTTGTTTTCAGCAGCTGGATTTAATGGAGTGGATTCATGAGCTACATTCATTTTTAGGAAAAAAAAAAAAAAAAAGGACCACAAACAAAAACCCAACAACAAAACAACCCAACAAAAAAAGCCCCCACCTTTTCTGTAGCTTTTTTTTCTAGCAAATGAACTGAACAGAGGGAAGAACAGACAGATTGTCCATTGCTGCTCGATTCCTCCCTGGCTGCGGCAAGTTGAGTTCTGTTCATAACTAAGTACATTTGATCCGAAGCGCAGGGAGGGCATCAGGAGTCCTGTTGCATATTAGGTGCAGAAAAGTAGTGTGTGTGTATGCACACATGTGCCTCAGCCACACATACATTTCTGGTGATCAGGTTGGATTCAGCACTAATTGCTCACTTGAGTTTTTAACATAGCGTTAATTGTTTGAATGGGAAGCAAGTGTATTGTCATAGTGAAGAGATTTAAAGCAGGAGTTGGGGTCTGCTGCTTGGCAATGGGGAGATAGTGTGAAATGTCCCCACTGTCAAGTTTTATTTAGGTTCACTGCAGTGTTAAGGCTACGGCAGTGGGGCCTATTTAATCATCATGACTTCGCAAGGAAGAACAGCCTCCTGTTTAGAGAAGACCTCAGGAGCAGCCAGAGGGGGAAGGAGAGGGCATGGGCCGCGCCCAGCCAGCACCATCCATGGGGGGTGCTGGAACCACAAGCCTGGAAGGGAGGGGAGGCTTCGCAGGCTTCACCCCTCCTGCTCTGGGCTGCAGCAGTCCCAAGCACTTCAGCTTTTGTTTAGAGTTGGGTGGACAAAAGCAGCTGTTTCAGGGCGCTAATCGATGGAGGGGCAGCAAACAGCCCTGTTTGGGGCAGACAGGTTAACAGGGTCTTGACTAGTTTAGCCGTTAATTGAACTGTCTACAGCCTCCCCAGGGAAATCAAAGGAAGGTACAAACAAAACTCTGTTCTCTCTTCCAGGATTTTTCAGGGCAGTTCGTCAGGAACCAGTCAAATTTGGAAAAATAGGCGGGGAGACTCACATTAACTATGTTCGCTGGTACGAGTGTGGAACATCAATACCTGGGAAATGGTAGATGGGACATCAACTTGGTGAAAAGGCCCAGCACTTACCACCGCCCCACCCGCCCCAGCTGCCCAAGGCAGGCTCAAAGATGGAAATGTTTATGGTATGCCTGGCACTTAAGTAAGTTTGCTGATGTGCAAAGGTTTATACAAGTCAAATGCCAATACTGCATTAATTGTGTAATAGTGTAGGCTGCTTACTGTAGTTATCCAGTGTTACAAATGTGTTTTTAGATTTAAAAAAAATAATAAATCCCAAACAGGCTAGGGACTTGTTGTAGGATAATGTATAGGGAAGCTGGCTCCCTATTCTTGAGGTATGGTTTATATGGTATTTTAAAAGATACGGTGTGTATGTTATTTATCACAATGTTGTAATAAATGTTTAAGGCACAGTTATGGCAGAGTTGGTCATGGAATGCAATGATGTGCATTAGTTTTTAAAATATTCACTGGTCTTCTTGTAACGTAAGTGCCATAAGCTACCTGTCCAGATACATATGTAATGTCCCCCCAACCATAAATTATAGAAAAGACCCTATAATTTTTAATATCCTGCAACCAGTAAACTTGAAGCGCTTTCTCCTTACATGTACGAACAGTTTATACTCCTGCCAAAACGCCAAGGTAGGTTGCTATATGTGCAGCTTTAAACAATCAGGTTAGTGGGTTTTTTCCATGTTTGTTTTCAAATGCTTCACCTCCAGCAAGAGCGTGTTCAGCCTATTGCTATGGCGTTGGAGCCACTGCCCCTGAGCTCGGTAGGTGGGCTTGGCTTCCTGCAATTAAAGCAGACGGGTACATATGTACATGGAATGAAAAAAATGGAATTGGCCTCCACAGCGGTGGCTTTTCATGAAAATGTAGTTTGCAGCGACTGAGACTTACTGGTTCAAAAGCCAAGTGTAGGTACAGTGCAGGGGGACTTGGAAAGATAAATGAAATGGGGGGAAAAAAAAAGCTACTTATAACAGCATAATCAGGTTGAAAACATTGTTCATTGGGGACAGAGGGGAAATAGCGATAACTGAACTTTAAAACTGCTTTATGGTAATTTTGATTAAAACCTCTCCCAAAGCTACTTGGTGTACTGCTTGAACATTTATGAACTAAATAAAGAGATGTAGGTTTTTTTTAAAGGTGTTATTCATTACATTACTAATGTATTGAAAAAATATGAACAGGAACAGCCAGATATATATATAGTAGAAATAGTCATTTATAGAAAATGCCTTATAAAGTACATTGCAGGTACACTGTACTCCTAATAAAATATTTTTTAATCAAACGTTTTTCTTAGTGTTTTACATGAAAACAAATACTAGTTTCTGTGGCAAATGCTATTATTTCAGGAAGCGGTTTGTTGGGAAGCAGGCACGTGTGAAGTGGTGCGATGTACACCTGCTGCGGTAGGTCTGACGGGAGCACAACCAGCAGGAGTTGGAGTTAGAGCTGCAGCTCATTGGAGAGCGCGGCTGGTGTGGGAGCAGCACAGTTAAGGATGATGAAGGTGGGAATATTTTCACGCGCTTTAGTTTCCAATTTGTCTTTATGAGAGTTCAAGCTGCTTGCTCCAGTTAGTTAATCTCTTTTTTTTTTTTTTTTTTTTTTTAAATTCCCTACTTATGGATTCTAGGAACACATAAAAATAAGATGGAAAATACTAACTGGGAGAATGTTTTGCCCTCTGCTGTTATATGGTCTATTGAATTTGTTACAGCTCTTGATCTGCTTTTTCTTGGCTCAAAATCGAGTCACTAGAATTTCACTCCCAAGTTTTTCTGGGTGGCAAAGAACCTGTGGAAAGTTGTTCCATTTTAAGAGCTCTTTTTTAAAAATATATATTTGGCTTAAATTTTCAAGTAATAAACCAATTCTCCCCCTGCCCTTGTTAAAGCGAAATTGGTAAGGGCTCTAAGATTTTATGTATTGGCTCTTAGTCAGTTGGTAAAAGGGTGACTTGGCAATTAACGACAGCAGCCAGTGCAAAACCATCTGCTGCTGCATAACCTCTGCAGAAGCAATCTGTGTTTACAACACTTCTCCATTTACACACATAAAAACCTGTCTCTTCTCCTGCAAACCTGAGCACCCTTGATCTCTACCTTGGTATCTGTGCACCCCACCCAGCACACACACTTGGCTTAACACAGTTCTCTTGTTCAGCATTACCTAAATTCTAAAATCAAGATCAGGCAAAAGATAGATTCAGGGTTTTTATTAGTTTTCTGTGTGAGCATTACAATTTATAATACATGGTATCTAGTTTTACCTCCAGAATGAATCTAATTTAGTACATTGTCGTATTAGTAAAAACAAGCCTGATAAGTGGGCTAAACTTCCAACTAGCATCTTCATACCCTTCAAACAAGGCAAGCTAGAATGTCAATCGATCACTTTGTGGACATTTAGGTAGTGTTTCCCAAAAAACAACCCAGCCCCAAATTAAACTAGGCAGCATATACAATTTAAAGCAGGAAAGATTCGTTTGGTCCTTCCCCTCCCCCCGGAACGTAATTAACAGCTATAGTTTTGCCTCATTACAGTTTTGGAACCTCAATTAAAAATCCTGGAGTCTGTCGGGATGGAGTCGCCGGTGCCGGGCGGCACCTCCTTACCGGTAGCCAGGTCCCGGCTGGGCATAGCCCTGGGGGCCGTAGGGCGGCCGGTTTCGGGCGTAGGGGTTGGCCCCGCTGGGCGGGGGGGTGATGGTGCTGCCGGGCGGCGGGGTGAAGCCGGGCCGCGGCTGGAAGGTGCCGGG